ATTGAAGACAAAGACAAGAAGAGCATTAAATGCTCAACAGTACGAAAACCAAAGAAGATGGGTCGCACACACCAAATCGAGAAGATTGATCCTTGACTTGATCTTCTAGCTACTAATCAGTGAAGACAAAGGAAATTTCCATTATCAGCTCCATCACAAGAGAACAAAAGTACACCTCATTCTGCGAATAGGATTGAATCCTCTCAACCAACGGAGGAGATCAACCTACTGGAGAAGCCTATAAAAGAAGGCATAGGCATGAGTTCTAAAACCAAGTTTTTGAGTCTTCAATGCAGAGTAATCACTCTAAGTATTCACGAGCTATCAAGCAAAAGAGAAAGTGCCAATTCAACTTTACTCTCTGCTTAGACTCATGCTTCACTAAGCTCTAAGATTAGATTAACAACCGTCATATTTGAAGAGCTTAGTTCATAGTTGGAGGTTAGAACTGTCTTGTAATCACAAGTTGTTGTAAACACTTAGGAGAACGGTTGTTCAGATCCTAAAGTGAATTAGATAGATAAGAGTACCTTTTGAACCCCACTGGTTCAATAGAGAAAAGTCTGAGGACTGAGTAACCTTGAGTGGTGCTATACTCACTGTGAAAAACCTTTAATCCAGGCCTAAGTATTGTAAAGGCTGGATTGACACTAAGTGTATTGGGTTTAATACTTTAGTGAAATCCATCTGAAAGAGGGTGGGACTGGATGTAAGAGGATTACAACACCTCTGAACCAGGATACATCGTGTGTTGATTTTATGTCAGTCAACAAAGCACACAACCAACACTTCTCACAAAAAGATTGGAGTTTGCCAGCAGCATCCTAAGCAGTTGCCTTAACAGACCCAACTGCTTATCCTACTGCTTAATTACTCACTTTCTTTGAGACCTTTTTCACACAGGAAACGTGCACCAATATCACTCAAAGACCTATCAGATTATTTTCAAAAAAATCCATTCTTAAGTATAGCAGGTGCCTCAGCAGTCCCCTGGTGTCCATTCAACTGCTGAGCCCTCTGCTAACATACACTTATTTCCGTTGAGAATCTCAATATCACTGGACCTTCATAACACTATCAACGAGGAGATTTACAAAACTTCTCTCTGAAATTCACCCTCCAAACCAAACAGGCACCTCAGCAGAGCCCTCATCACTACTCAACTGCTGAGACCACTGCTCCAGTAAAACTTCTGATTACATATACTAGAGCACATTTTGAAAGGCCTTCATTATTCTTAGCAACATTTCATCATCACCTTCTTCAAACACCCAACATTTTCTCAGCAGTTGACTCAGCCTATGTTGCACGGATATGGATACGCCGATACTCGGATACACGGATACGGGTACGGCGATACGGCACTTTCAAAAATTATAGGATACGGGTACGGGGGTATATTTATAAATAATAAAAATATAGGGTATAATTTGCAAATATATATAATTCAGGGGTTCATAAATAAAATAATAATAGTACAAAAAATTAACTATTATAATAAAGTTTAAAAGATTAGTCTAAAAAACTAAAGTATTGATATTTTGATTTAAATCCAAATAACATTTTTTTGTTCTCTATTTGCATTTACATCTAAGTCTTGTTTCAATTAAAGCTCATCAAACAATGAAATGACAAATTATAGTATTCCGTTATTTTCCATACTCCCGAAACCATCTTTATCAATGTTCCACATGTTGTGGTCGCTTGGGCGGCTACTGAATTTTTGTCATGTCGTGTATCAAATGAGGGGTTGTAGGTTCGGATACGCGTATCGGTTCACGGATACGGGTATCGGAAGTATCGATATTTTTAAAATTAAGTCCGATACTTTTATTAAATTACGGATACGGACCCAATACGTACATGACGCGTATCGGTGAGTATCGGATACGGATACGTATCGGATACGCGGATACGGCATCGAGGTGAAGTATCGGTGCAACATAGGACTCAGCAGTCTCCTGCATTTCAGTTAACTGTCAACTCAGCAGTTGCCTCAGCAGTCGACTACCCATCATCCAACTGCTAAGCCTACTGCCCTTCCATAATCCGTTTAAACATCACTCAGACTAAAAAGTTATCGTACACTGAGTTTCTAGAGGTTAAAAGACTTCCGCTGCGCATCTATTAATCTCCCAAAAGATTATAGATCTACTCATCTAGAAGGGAAAAATTGTTAAAGACGAAAAAGTTATAAAAGTCTATTCACCCCCCCCCCCCCTCTAGACTTTTACCTCTATCCGGGACCATCAAGTGGTATCAGAGCAGTGTGTTCATAGAGTCAGTTTCTGACTATTTTTGAACCAAAGATCCAAAGCCAACTGCTTCCCTAAACTTTCTAAAAATGGATAACCAACTTTCCAAAAATCTCATGTTCAACCTGGACAAGTTTGATGATTGGAAAATCAGGATGAAAGCACATCTCAGTGCTTTGCATGATGAAATGCTGGAAGTGATCACTGATGGGCCTATCAAAATTATGAAAGTCATCACATCCAGAGCCACAGAAGGAACTGAAGATGTATACATTCCTAAACCAAAAATGGAATGGACAACTGAAGACAGGAAGAGGAACAATCTTGATAATGTTGCAAGAGATATTCTCTTCAAAGCAGTAGATGAGTCCATATTTCCTAGAATAAGGAAATGTGACACTGCAAAAGATGTCTGGGATGAACTAACCAAAATAGGTGCAGGAGATGAACAAGAGAAGGACAACAAGCTGACCATTGCTCACAAGAAGTTTGAAGACTTCAAAATGCTGCCAAATGAATCTATTCATGAGATGGAGTCTAGATTCTTGAAAATCATAGCAGAGGTCTCGGATCTGGGAAAAATTCTCTCCCAAAAGGAAACCTCTCTCAAAATCTTGAGAGGTCTGCCATCAAAGTGGGATATGAAGGTCACTGCTATGAGAGATAGCAGAGATCTAAGAACCTTGTCAACTGATAAACTGTTCAGTGATCTCAAAGCTTATGAATTCGAAATGAAAGAGATCAGAGAAGAGAAGGAAGATGAAATAAAGACACTAGCCTTAGTGTCTGAACCCAGCACATCAAAATCCTCTCAGAAATCACTCAATAATCTTCTCACTGATGAGCAATTTGCAATGTTCGTGAGAAAATTCAAAAGATTTATGAAAAAGGAAGGACCTGCTACAAAGAAACCATTCAGTAACTCACCTAGAAAGCAAGGGAGATTCCAATCAGGTGAGAACAATATTCTATGCTACAATTGTAGACAGCCTGGACACTACAAAAACGAGTGTCCTCTTCCATTGACACACAAGTATCAAGGGCAGCATACTAATGCTCAAAAGAATGGACACAAGGACTACAAAGGCAAACGTCAAGCCTTTGTAAGTGAAAAGAAAAAGGAGGAATCCCAATCTGAAGATGAAAGCAGCTCAAGTGATGAAAGCTCTTCATCAGAAAGCTCTGAGGAAGCACTTTTATGCCTGGGATCCTGGCAGGTGACTAAAGAAAACAGCAGTTGGCTCACTGAAGAGAACAGCAGGTGGCTCAGTGAACCTTCCACCAGCTCAAGTGAAAATAATGAAAGCTGCTCTCCCAAATGCCTAATGGCCAAGGACCACTACAATGATGTTGAGGTAACTTCCTGCTCTTCCTATGGCTCTAGTGATTCTGGACCAAACAATATCACACTAGAATCTTTGCTGCAAGATTTCCAAAAGGTCCAAAATCACCATGTTCTCTTAAGATCAGAAAATGATAGACTAAAACAAGACATAAAGGTTATTCATGCTAAATTGCTAAATGCCTTAACCAAAAATAATGTCTTAGAGGAAGAGAACAAAGAGCTGAAAAATAAAATGAATAACTTTAGTATGGAAAGTAAGAATTGTAATCCTACTGCTAAAGTTATTCTAAATAGGAAGAGAAGAGGTCTCGGCTATGTATCCCCCACCAAACTCACTCAAAGTTCACCCTTCAAAAACCATCAACAAAATACAAGAAAGCTAACCTACAAAAAAATCCACTCCCCAAATGTTCCCACAAGAGGAAACCAACCTGCTCCCAAACCAAAGCTCAAACCCCTGTATAAATCAACATCTCCTAACCATCAACACACAAGATGTGACACCGCACCCGAACGTCCTTGAAAATTCAAATTAAAAATTCAAAGTTTATGTATTGAATTTCTGATTCCCAAACAATTGTAAAACGATTGATGTTTTACGTAATTCATGATTGATTATTATACTGGCCGAACTCGTATATTAGTGTTGGGATTGTGAATACTCGTTTGGGCCTTGTTAATAAATAAACGAGCCTAGCATTATCTAAATAGTGATACATAACGTTTCAAGACAAGTTGAGGAAGGGCGGGCAGCCCAGATATTATTTTGGGCTCAACCCGCTAAAAAAGCAAGTATTCGAGGACGACATCGTAGGCCCACTCGGGGGCGACCCATACGGCTAGTAGTCCAATAATATGGATAACAAATGTCAAAATAAGGGATAGGATGATTTGAGATGAATACAAATGCCTATGATCCCATCTTTGACATTATTGAGCTAAATAATGGGAATAGGACTTTCCTTCTATAATGTCCATCTTGTAAATAATTGGGATGATCCTACACATATTGGAGATCAATAATGTGATGTAGGAAGTTGACTTGTTCTAAATAAACTAGGATGAGTACAAAAAGACATCTTTTGACAAAGATAAAATAATAGGACCCATCTTTCCATTTTTGGGTGTATTGATAGATATTTTGGATCCCAAAATAATTGGGATCAATGGGAACCACTCCACATGATATTAGTACCTGCAAAACAAATAAAAATGGGTTAGAAGACCTACCTTGGCCGGCCATAATGGAGGGGAGCTGCACATGACTTGATAGGAATCAAAGCTTGGGCCACCATCCTTATTTTCGCACAAATTGGTGTGCTGTTTGTCTCCTCTCATTATAGAAGCTATACTCGACCAAACAACGTGAATAATATGTCCTTGGATAGCCTTTGAAGTCTAGTATCTCAATTGAGTGGTCGTTGTTCGAAGAGAGAAAGCTTATCTTACAAAAATCGAGCTGGAGTGAGTGGTGGTCTGTGAACTCGAGCTGTGAGAGTGCTGAGACTGTTTGGTTGATATATAGAGTTATACCAATCCAATTAAGGCGTGTGAGATACCAAAAGAAAGCTCTCAAGACGAGGATTCCGTGAAGGTCTGGTTTGCATCAATCGGAGTAGTGGAAGGCTTCCAAATCGTCCGAGCAAAACACAACCTCGCAGAAACGGATCCACTCTTCTTAAGTGAGTTGTTAATCCCAAAACCTTTCTATTCATTTTCCAAATGATATGAACGATTGGTGGAACTATTATACACTACTCCAAGTGTATAATATGTCCCTATTAAGTTATTTTGTTGATGTAAAGGTTAGATGCTAACCTAAAGCAAATCTTGGAAAACTAGGAAACGAGTTAGCCGGAAAACACCCATTCTAGGGGCTGTTTTCGTACCAACGATTAAGGGTTGAACTAGCACTTTGAGGAGGCTGTTTGACACTCATTTCTAAGCAAGGAATCAGTCCTCAAGCTTCCTTGGCCGAGGCTTTGGTCATTGAATCAAGAAGGAAAGTTTTAAAGCTCATTTGAGGTGAGGATCGACATCTAGTTGCTTACAACTTGTAGGTTAAGCATGAGATTACCTAAATGCCAAAATCATGTTTTCCATGGATTATGATGATAAATTATTGATGGAATATTGATCTATTTTCCAAAGAATGAAATGAGAAATGATTTGGTAAAGTATTGATAAAAATGGAGTTAAATGAACTATTGTGTGAAATAGTCACTTTACTCATGTGTGAATTGTGTGGATACATAAATGATTATTTATGTATTACATTGAATGATTAAGTTGCTGCTACATATCTCTAAATATGTAGGGTTTTACAAATGGAATATATGATGGATAAGAATAATCTTAATAGTATTGAAATACTAGTTAATGATTGTTGTAATTGTTAAGGGAATTGAATCTAAGGATTTGATTATAATTGATGTACTTGATTGTGATGCAAGTGACAAATTTGATGTAATGTGATGCTAAGACCATGGTTGGGCAGTCCGTAGGGATGTCCCAAAATAGATTATTGGTATTACAATTCTAGGCATAGTGAGTGCTTAGGAATTGGGGTCTATGCCAATGTAAGGAGATGTACTTGAGCCCGTGCTCATAGAATTGCATTGGGTAGACATGATGAGGTGATTGTTGTGCATGGTGATGTAGTCGAGTTGGACTCGAGAAATGCACGGTGGAGTAGTTAGCTTATGTTAATTAAGGTGCATGGTGATGTAGTCGAGTTGGACTCGAGAAATGCACGGTGGAGTAGTTAGCTTATGTTAATTAAGGTGCATGGTGATGTAGTCGAGTTGGACTCGAGAAATGCACGGTGGAGTAGTTAGCTTATGTTAATTAAGGTGCATGGTGATGTAGTCGAGTTGGACTCGAGAATGCAAACATATGTGTTAGGGTTGAACCCTATGTATTGATGTGACTAGGGGTCACGGGATTTTGGGGTATGTTTGATAAACAAACCTTGGGCCTACGGGCCGACTACTTGACTTTATATATAAAGTAAGTATATTTTAAAAAGGGGTAACTTGGGGTTACGGCCTAGATTATACTATCACCCTATTTGAGGGTCTTGTGTTTGAAATACTTGTTGTATATCTATTAGATGCCATCCACACCAGCACTTTATAGCCCTATAGAGTGCTGACCCCTTCGGGGGCGTCCCACCACCATTTTTCAGGTTGAGGCTAGAGCTTGCTTCCTGTGCTCGTTGCTCGAGTGATCATCTAGGAGGGAAGACTTGGTTCGTGCTTCCTCCATTCGGATTTTAAACATTAATAAACATGCTCATGGATATTTTACTATGGAGCCTGCGTGCCCATGAATAGCCCGGTGTGGCCTTTTTGTTTTAAACAATGTTTCCGCTGCGTTATGAATTACTTATTATGTTTGTTTATGGATGTACATGTGTGAATGATATTCAAGACGCCTTGTATAATATGAATGTGTTGGACTGCGGTTGACTATTCGTATTGTACGGCGGGTTGTTGACGTGTCCGGATAGGTCCGGGGCGTGACAATTAAGTTGGTATCAGAGCCTTAGTCCATAAACTTCATAATGAAGTCTCAAAATTCTCTTTTGAAAATATTTTGAAAACCATGAGCATAGAAGTTTTGTACTTGGAGAGCTTTTGGTACTTGGGTTGCAAGGTCTCTAATTGTTAAGATGGTACCCTTAGCAATTGGTATGGCGGTGACTCGAGCCAAAATGTGTCTTAAGTACCTATCCGTCAATCGACATTTGATACGAGTCTAACGACTCCTTCCAAATTTCTTTCAGAAATGGACCGTGGTGGCAGGATTACTAGGAGAAACCCGACGGGCCGTGTACCAGTGGAGACTGGACAGGGCAGTCGAAGGACCTCTAGGGCATCTAGAGGAGCTGGCCGTGGAGGCCGATCACAGACCGTGAGTGACGGTCATGTTGACACAGAAAGTGAAACCTACTGGTCCTATGAGGACTCGACTTACCAACCGGAGACCGAGCCGGTTGAGACCCCTTACGAAGGGGATGACGATGATATAAGTGATGAAGAAGGGGAGAATGACTCCCTAGTCAGAATTGAGGCGCTGCTCCAGCAATACCAGCGGGAGCGCGAGGGAAGGAGGGAACGCCGAAGGCGCCGAGGAGGGCGAACTTCGGGTGGGGCTTCAAGAGGAAGAAGCCATGGCGACTCTAGGGCCCACATTGAACCACATGGGGGCCGGGGTGATGGAGGTCCGATCATAAGGATCTCCAAATACCTCAAGGAGGCACGAGACTTGGGGTGCAAACCCTTCAACGGAGCGGGTGACATCTCGGTCGCCGCGGAATGGATCAAGAGGCTGAACGAAGCAGCCCTTGATATGCAACTCACCCCCGAGTTTAAGCTAAGGGTGGCGGTGAGGTTGCTCGAAGGGATGGCATCCACATGGTGGGACGGAGCCAAGGGAAAGTATGGCAACACGGTGACTTGGGAGAATTTCCGACAGGAGTTCTTTGCCCAATATTATTCTGATTTTGAGGTGAACGCCAAGAGGAGAGAGTATACCCTCCTGACCCAAGGGGGCAAAATGACGGTGAGGCAACTTGAACACAAATTCAGGGAGCTCGCGGAGTTCATACCGGAGTATGTGTGTGACGAGAACCGGATGGTAAATCACTTCTGGGATGCCTTAGACCTGGAGGTGCGTGAGAGGGCAACACAGTTGCCTAACATGACTTTTAGCCAAGTGGTCGAGCAAGGGTTAAAGGGAGAGAAAGAATGGGAGGAAAGAAAGTTGAAGAACGCCGAAGAGGCAAAGAAGAGGAAGTGGGAGAACCATGGACATCAAGGTCCTAGCAAAAAGGGGAACCATGGGGGAGGGGGATCTTTTCGGACACCCCCACTGCCACCTAGGGGAAGTCATGGCCCGGGCGGGCAATCACAAGCCTCGGGGGTGACTCGTTGCAAGAATTGCAAGAGGAACCACCCGGGGAAATGTCGTGACCCTCCTAGATGCTACCAATGCGGGAGCACGGGTCACATGAAGATGAGCTGCCCACAACTGGGCGGGACGAGGGCATCAGGGCCAAGTAGTGGTAATACCGGGACACGGAATCAAGCCGGGACTTCACAAGCGTCCAGAGGGCAAGGGGGAGCAAGTGCAAGCAACGCGCCGTCCGTGAATCAAGGAAGGACTCAAGCTAGGGTCTACGCGATGACGGAGGCGGATGCTCAAGCTAACCCGGATTCCGTTGCAGGTATTGCCTCTCGTACACTAGTGTTTTATCCTTAATTAGTCCATAAATTGAAGTTATAAATCCTAGAATCCAGGTGGGAGCAGACGTAAGATTGAAATGGGAAAGGAGAGCAAAACCATGCTACTACCCGACCGGGTAGGGCAATAAACCCTACCGGGTGGGACGAGTTTTTGCCCTCGTAAACCTTCTGGATCGCATACCCGATCGGGTTTGGTAATGAACCCGACCGGGTAGGCCAATTTTTTTCACTCATAAGTCCACTGGAACACATACCCGACCGGGTATGGTGGTATACCCGACCGGGTTTGTCAAAAATTTCTCCCCGACACTTTCTGGAACACATACCCGACCGGGTATGGTGGTAAACCCGACCGGGTTTGTCAAAAATTTCTCCCCGACACTTTCTGGAACACATACCCGACCGGGTATGGTGGTAAACCCGACCGGGTTTGTCAAAAAAAAAATTCTGCCCGAACCCACTGGAACTTATACCCGATCGGGTATAGTATGTTACCCGACCGGGTACACCTCGAAGTGTTCGTCAAATGAAAAAGTTGTCTTCATGAAAGTTGTAGATATTTTCATTGTCTAAATGATGGAATTTGAATCGAACGATTTGGTTAAGTATGTGAAGAGATATGATCAAAACGGTGAGACAGTGTCAAATTATATCTCAACTGCGAACGTCAACCATAATTGGGGAATTTTGCCCACTTTAAGGACATGATTTCGCATTATGTTCTTCGTAGGATTGGTCGGTATGTTAGAGAGGTATCTTACATGGCTTATAAATGTAGGAACACTAAAGATTAATGGGAGATGTGCGAGAATCCTCATCGATACCGGGGCGCAACGATCATTTGTGAGTGAGGCATTTGCCGGGGGATTCAACGCACCCCTAGTACCGATGGCTCAAGCCCTATTGGTATCCACACCCCTAGGGGAAGACATCGAGAGAGATAGCCACTATCCATCGTGTGAGGTGGAAGTGGAGGGCCAAAACTTGTCGTGTGATTTCGTGCCGCTGAGTATGATTGAGTTCGATGCAATCCTGGGGATGGATTGGCTTGAGAAGCATCATGCTAGGGTCGATTGTTACACGAAAGTACTTGAACTCGAAGGCAATGAAGGGGTAACCTTACGCTTCGAGGGGGATAGGGCAAGATCCAATAGTTGTATCATATCCGCTGTGAGGGCTAAGAATATGATAAGGAAGGGATGTCACGCATATCTAGCGTATGTGGTGGACAAAACCAAAGAAGAGACGAGCATTGATGATGTTAGGGTAGTATGCAAGTATCGGGACGTCTTTCCTAAAGACTTACCGGGGCTGCCACCTGACAGGGAGATTGAATTTGTGATCGAGGTCGAGCCTGGTACCAAACCAATCTCCATACCGCCATACCGTATGGCACCCGCTGAACTTAACGAGTTGAAAACCCAATTGCAAGAGCTTTTGGATAACGGTTTCATTAGACCAAGCCACTCCCCGTGGGGAGCACCGGTTCTTTTTGTGAAAAAGAAAGATGGGACACTTCGAATGTGCATTGACTATCGTCAACTGAACAAGGTCACAATCAAGAATAGGTATCCTTTGCCTAGGATTGATGACTTGTTTGATCAACTACGAGGAGCAACCGTGTTTTCGAAGATTGACTTGAGGTCGGGGTACCATCAATTGAAGATTAAGGGAGACGACATACCAAAGAGTGCTTTCCGCACAAGGTATGGGCATTTTGAGTTCCTTGTTATGTCATTTGGGTTAACAAACGCCCCAGCGGCATTCATGGACTTGATGAACCGAGTATTCCATAAATACTTGGATCGATTCGTGATTGTGTTCATAGATGACATCTTGATTTACTCAAAGAGTGAGGAAGAGCATGAAGAGCACTTGATACTCATTCTTGAGACACGGGAGAAGCAACTCTATGCCAAATTTTCTAAGTGTGAATTTTGGCTAAAGGAGATTGGCTTTCTCGGGCACGTGGTTTCAGGATCGGGAATTGCTGTTGATAACAAGAAGATAGAGGCCATTACCGAATGGGAGAGGCCGAAGAACGTCAAGGAAATTCGTAGTTTCCCTTGGATTGGCAGGCTACTACAGAAAGTTCGTGGAGAAGTTCTCTGTTTTGGCATCACCATTGACGAAGCTCACTCGTAAAGGAGCTAAGTTTGTATGGGATGACAAATGTGAGAAAGGGTTCATGGAACTAAAGAAGAGATTGACCGAGGCACCGGTACTTGCATTACCCAAACAGGGTGTGGGGTACGATGTCTATAGCGATGCGAGCATCCAAGGGTTTGGGTGTGTGTTGATGCAGGAGGGGAGAGTAATTGCCTATGCTTCACGACAGTTGAAGAAGCATGAGGTAAATTACCCTACCCATGACCTGGAGCTGGGAGCAGTAGTGTTTGCACTGAAGATTTAGAGACATTATCTCTACGGAGAGACATGTCACATATATACTGATCATAAGAGCTTGAAGTACGTGTTTACTCAGAAAGAGTTAAACATGAGACAGAGACGGTGGATGGAGTTGATAAAGGACTACCATCTAGTTATTGAGTACCATCCAGGCAAGGCAAACGTTGTAGCAGATGCCCTGAGTCGGAAGAGTTCGTCTGGGGCATTGTTGACTAGTTTGAGGGCACTGAGGGCCCAATTGGATGTATCTAGCGACGGTGCCTTATTGGCACGATTTGAAGTGAGACCGACCTTACTTGATGAGATCAAGAAGGGTCAAGAGACTGACGCAGAACTGATGAAGATCCGGGGACGCATGCAAGCGGGACCGGTGGAGGATTTCAGGGAAAGAGATGATGGTCTCTTGTTATTTCGTGACCGAGTGTGTGTGCCGTCAGACGATGAGCTCCGAATAGAGGAGGCTCATTCATCGGCTTATGCCATGCACCCGGGGGGCACGAAAATCAAGGTCACCGATAGGAAGGTGAAGAAACTGAGGAGCAAAGAAGCCCCGATGGTTAAAGTCCTTTGGAAGAGCGACCGGGTCGAAGAAGAGACATGGGAAACAGAGGCCTTGATGAGGAAACAGTATGCTTTCCTATTCGAGTAGAGCTGTGAATTTCGGGGACGAAATTCCTGTTAAGGGGGGGTGAACTTGTGACACCGCACCCGAACGTCCTTGAAAATTCAAATTAAAAATTCAAAGTTTATGTATTGAATTTCTGATTCCCAAACAATTGTAAAACGATTGATGTTTTACGTAATTCATGATTGATTATTATACTGGCCGAACTCGTATATTAGTGTTGGGATTGTGAATACTCGTTTGGGCCTTGTTAATAAATAAACGAGCCTAGCATTATCTAAATAGTGATACATAACGTTTCAAGACAAGTTGAGGAAGGGCGGGCAGCCCAGATATTATTTTGGGCTCAACCCGCTAAAAAAGCAAGTATTCGAGGACGACATCGTAGGCCCACTCGGGGGCGACCCATACGGCTAGTAGTCCAATAATATGGATAACAAATGTCAAAATAAGGGATAGGATGATTTGAGATGAATACAAATGCCTATGATCCCATCTTTGACATTATTGAGCTAAATAATGGGAATAGGACTTTCCTTCTATAATGTCCATCTTGTAAATAATTGGGATGATCCTACACATATTGGAGATCAATAATGTGATGTAGGAAGTTGACTTGTTCTAAATAAACTAGGATGAGTACAAAAAGACATCTTTTGACAAAGATAAAATAATAGGACCCATCTTTCCATTTTTGGGTGTATTGATAGATATTTTGGATCCCAAAATAATTGGGATCAATGGGAACCACTCCACATGATATTAGTACCTGCAAAACAAATAAAAATGGGTTAGAAGACCTACCTTGGCCGGCCATAATGGAGGGGAGCTGCACATGACTTGATAGGAATCAAAGCTTGGGCCACCATCCTTATTTTCGCACAAATTGGTGTGCTGTTTGTCTCCTCTCATTATAGAAGCTATACTCGACCAAACAACGTGAATAATATGTCCTTGGATAGCCTTTGAAGTCTAGTATCTCAATTGAGTGGTCGTTGTTCGAAGAGAGAAAGCTTATCTTACAAAAATCGAGCTGGAGTGAGTGGTGGTCTGTGAACTCGAGCTGTGAGAGTGCTGAGACTGTTTGGTTGATATATAGAGTTATACCAATCCAATTAAGGCGTGTGAGATACCAAAAGAAAGCTCTCAAGACGAGGATTCCGTGAAGGTCTGGTTTGCATCAATCGGAGTAGTGGAAGGCTTCCAAATCGTCCGAGCAAAACACAACCTCGCAGAAACGGATCCACTCTTCTTAAGTGAGTTGTTAATCCCAAAACCTTTCTATTCATTTTCCAAATGATATGAACGATTGGTGGAACTATTATACACTACTCCAAGTGTATAATATGTCCCTATTAAGTTATTTTGTTGATGTAAAGGTTAGATGCTAACCTAAAGCAAATCTTGGAAAACTAGGAAACGAGTTAGCCGGAAAACACCCATTCTAGGGGCTGTTTTCGTACCAACGATTAAGGGTTGAACTAGCACTTTGAGGAGGCTGTTTGACACTCATTTCTAAGCAAGGAATCAGTCCTCAAGCTTCCTTGGCCGAGGCTTTGGTCATTGAATCAAGAAGGAAAGTTTTAAAGCTCATTTGAGGTGAGGATCGACATCTAGTTGCTTACAACTTGTAGGTTAAGCATGAGATTACCTAAATGCCAAAATCATGTTTTCCATGGATTATGATGATAAATTATTGATGGAATATTGATCTATTTTCCAAAGAATGAAATGAGAAATGATTTGGTAAAGTATTGATAAAAATGGAGTTAAATGAACTATTGTGTGAAATAGTCACTTTACTCATGTGTGAATTGTGTGGATACATAA